ACATAGTCTAGTCGACAAGTTGAAAATGGAACAAAATAGAGATACTGCTCTTAAAATTATGTGCGATAGCTCATTCGAACCGGAATGACGCCTAGAAAAATGTGCTAAAAGCGTGTATTAGCACATAAAAAATTGCAAAAGTTATAGACCATTAAAGATGAAAAAAAAATGGAATTTAGTTTTTTGCCAATATTTAATAAACTATTAATATTTAAGAAATTTCAAATAAAGATTCTGAAAGAGGAGGAAATTTCCAATAAAAAACTCTCAGCTCCCGGAACTCTATCTCCATTATTTATAACTTTAATTTAACGCTGAAAATAGGTCTGTGCGTGACATTTTTAGGATTCGCGCGTGGCGTCAAAAGCGACTACGGCACATTAATTAATTTATTTAAGGTATTGAATATTTTTTTTAAATTTGAAAAAATTATGGTGTGTTCTGAACACTATAATTAATTTATTCCCGTTGGAAATTTTACTTAAAGTTAATTTTTCAACAAGTTAAATAATTGTTAACTAACGAAATTTTCTCGAACGACCGTCTTAATTGTAAGTGAAAAAAATGTTTTAATAATGGTCGTAAAAATATTTCGCTTCGTAGAGCCTTTCTTACATACATACTTAACAAGATCGTGCCATAAAAGTTAAAGAAATATTTATACTTTGTTTATAACAATTTTTTTACTTAAACAAAAACTTAAAAATCCAAGTAATGTTGTTAAAAAATTTTTTTTTTCTAAATCATCAAATTATCGTTTTTATATTAATACAAGATATTTATTGATTTGCAAAAAAAAATTTCCCGCCATTTGTTAATAATTTTTTTTAAACAAATTGATTAAATCAATTGTTTTAAAAAAAAAATTTCACAACTTTATTACATTACAAATATTATGATTGTTTAAAAAAAAATTTCCTTAATAACATATTTTAATTGTTTATAATCGTTTTTTTTATATTTCTTTTGTTTAAATAATTAGTTAAGAAATTTTTTTTTTTAAAAATCATAATTCACAATCCTCTATAAAGTAACAGAAAAAATTTTTTTTAATCAACAATTCTATTGTTTATTAACTTACCAATTTGTTATAAACAAATGTTCAACTTTTTATATTTTTTTCTAAAACTTCTAAAATTAACAAAAACAACCATATATAACAAAATATAGAAAAACATTTTTTTAAATTTTTTGATTATCATGAATATTACTTTTATTAAAAAAATTTTTTTTTTTTTATAGACTTTGTTATATATGTTTGTTTTTGTTAATTTTGAAGTTTTAGAAAAAAAATATAAAAGTTGAACATTTGTTTATAACAAATTGGTAAGTTAATAAACAATAGAATTGTTGATTAAAAAAAATTTTTTCTGTTACTTTATAGAGGATTGTGAATTATGATTTTTAAAAAAAAAAATTTCTTAACTAATTATTTAAACAAAAGAAATATAAAAAAACGATTATAAACAATTAAAATATGTTATTAAGGAAATTTTTTTTTAAACAATCATAATATTTGTAATGTAATAAAGTTAGAAATTTTTTTTTAAAACAATTGATTTAATCAATTTGTTTAAAAAAAATTATTAACAAATGGCGGGAAATTTTTTTTTGCAAATCAATAAATATCTTGTATTAATATAAAAACGATAATTTGATGATTTAGAAAAAAAAAATTTTTTTAACAACATTACTTGGATTTTTAAGTTTTTGTTTAAGTAAAAAATTGTTATAAACAAAGTATAAATATTTCTTTAACTTTTATGGCACGATCTTGTTAAGTATGTATGTAAGAAAGGCTCTACGAAGCGAAATATTTTTACGACCATTATTAAAACATTTTTTTCACTTACAATTAAGACGGTCGTTCGAGAAAATTTCGTTAGTTAACAATTATTTAACTTGTTGAAAAATTAACTTTAAGTAAAATTTCCAACGGGAATAAATTAATTATAGTGTTCAGAACACACCATAATTTTTTCAAATTTAAAAAAAATATTCAATACCTTAAATAAATTAATTAATGTGCCGTAGTCGCTTTTGACGCCACGCGCGAATCCTAAAAATGTCACGCACAGACCTATTTTCAGCGTTAAATTAAAGTTATAAATAATGGAGATAGAGTTCCGGGAGCTGAGAGTTTTTTATTGGAAATTTCCTCCTCTTTCAGAATCTTTATTTGAAATTTCTTAAATATTAATAGTTTATTAAATATTGGCAAAAAACTAAATTCCATTTTTTTTCATCTTTAATGGTCTATAACTTTTGCAATTTTTTATGTGCTAATACACGCTTTTAGCACATTTTTCTAGGCGTCATTCCGGTTCGAATGAGCTATCGCACATAATTTTAAGAGCAGTATCTCTATTTTGTTCCATTTTCAACTTGTCGACTAGACTAACACATGCAAATGTAAAATTGTCTATTAAGTAATTTAAATAAATTTTGATGCCAATGAGTCGATTTCTATGTTACTAAGAAGTGTTGTTATGATTTTTTTACGTTTAATCATTGACACGCTAACGCGACACTTATTTGAAGAAGAGAGATGAGCTCTTAAAAACTGCGCATTGCAGTTATGATAACACATGCAAATGTAAAATTGTCTATTAAGTAATTTAAATAAATTTTGATGACAATGAGTCGATTTTTATGTTACTAAGAAGTGTTTTTATGATTTTTTCTACGTTTAATCATTGACACGCTAACGCGACACTTATTTGAAGAGGAGAGATGAGCTCTTAAAAACTGCGCATTGCAGTTATGATAACACAGGCAAATGTAAAAAACATGTTTTTAATTGTTATATATATTTTTTAATTATATGAAAGGACAATTATGGTCTAAGATCCCGCTATACAACGACCTTCACCGAGATGCTTATTTAATGAAACTTATTTTATATATAATTTAATATGTCAATAAATATAATCCATATGGGTTGCCTAGCAAATTTCAGTCCAGAGTATGTTTAGTTAATATTAAAAAAAATTTTTTTTTATAATTTGCATGTAGTAAATTTTTAGAACTTTTTTCAATCAATATTTTTAATCAGGGTAGTATTATATATGTATCACTATAACCTTCTTTTATACTAAAGATGTATATATACTTTAGTGTCACATAAAAAATATACACATAAATAATTAATTGATTAAAAACAACCTAACGTTTGCATATTCTATGGGCTTCATACGTTCGATTGGTATAGAATTTATCTAATAATCATACCGGTGAAATGTTTAAAAAAATATTTTTTTTAAAAATTAATTAAACATACTCTGGACTGAAATTTGCTAGGCAACCCATATGGATTATATTTATTGACATATTAAATTAAATTAAAATAAGTTTCATTAAATAAGCATCTCGGTGAAGGTCGTTGTATAGCGGGATCTTATACTATTAAGATTGTATTAAAGACTTTTATTGATACTGTAGAGCAAGTTCAGGTTTAGAGTATTAGGAGATATTGGTTTCGAATCAGACGAGAATAATAAAAATCTCTTCTGAATCGAGTGCTATATTTTTTCTATTGAATGTTTTACATGTTTAGAGATTCAGAGCTGAAAATTTGCGAGAACTTTGGCATGTCACGACATCGTATATAAAATCCATAAAGTCTTTGACATGACTTTGATGTTTTAAATCTTAGACTCTAGCAATGGAGTCGTAAAAGTAAGTAATATAGGGCAATGAACTTAAGTATTTTTGGATCGACAATGCGAAATAGAAAGCTCTCACTGAGCCGAAAATAAATCTCTCTTGGACGTGCTTGAATGAAATTTTGTCTGACATGCAAAACTGACTAATAGTGTCTCATAAAATGTGCTATTTAATATGCTTTTAATAACAACGCGACGTTAATGTGTTGGAAATCATTTGTTTATGCTTGAAAATATTGGAAATTGCTAAAGGTTCTTTATCGTAAAATTTACCTTTTATGAGGTTATACAGTGAATAGTTAATACTATTCCATACAATTACTGTTTTCATTCTCAAAACAGAGTTAAAAATCTTCAAATTCCTTTAGTTCATACAAAAAATAGAAATACAAAAAAGTTCATTCGTTATACAGTTGTTCGCTAAATGGATCACTTTTCAAAGTTTAATTTAAGTCATCTCACTACGTATTTATTATTTATTTAACAGTTTAATAATAATCCACAGCTTTTTTCAAATTTAAAAATATAGCCAAAACGGATTACAAATATACGAAGAAGATCATGTACTAACCGAGACAAGTTACTAATAATTTATTGATTAAGGTGTGGGAATGTGTAATATGTGGGGGTGTGTGTGTGTGCGTTTTTATGTGATCCTAAAAATCCATTCGATTTGTCTATTTCCTTAGAAAAGACGCGTTCGGAGATCAATGCTCGCAAACCTAGTCCTTATTATATAGTTTAAAATACGTGTAAGTTTATTATTTTGAGCAGAGTTTGTACCAAAATATAGGGATGTGAAACAGCTAGACGAGTTCTATTATCGACTAATATTTATTAACGTGCATGTTGTTTTGAAACTTATAAATATTCAAAATGATGACCTTTAAAAATTGTTTATTGGAAAACCATAATAAATTTAAAAATATCGTAAGTTTGAAAATATTTCACTTTTCATAATACTATATATTTTCTTGTCTTCGGACTTGGTATACAAACCAAGCGCACATGTGCGCTCGTCACTCGCAAATTGTGTAAGTGGTTGATTACGGTCAGTTACTCAATATCCTCATAATTTACGTCTATTTACGTAAATGATAACAAATATCAGATGTCCAAAAATTTGAAGAAAACAGTTACGATTTTTACTAGGCTTATTTGGTTATACTATTTTTTTTAATACGTACAGATAACAAAACATGTTATATTGTATCCATATCGTGTTAAAACACTGAATCACCCGACGAGCGACTCAAACCTGAGACTGTGTGGTTAAACATCGGCTGTCATACAAGTTAAACTACAGATAAAAAAATAGAATAATAAAATCCTGAAATGTCAGGTGGTATAGCTACATTTTTGCTTATGACATCTGTCAAACTCAAAAGTAAAGCCGTTAACTACGAGCTGGCAATAGTAAAAAGGAGAACTCATTTTGACAATTATCAAGTTTCAAAGGTTGGGTGGTCTCGAAAGCGTCTTTTAAAATCTTTTACGTAAAACTTTTGCCATAAAAAAAATAAAAAAAATCTTTTCATCAAAGTCATGTTATTATTTTATATCCAAAGACAACAATTCAATAAACACGTATCCCGTTCTGTGTTTCACTATGATGAAAAGAGATTAATGAGTACTTTAGCTAACGAGGAGCAAATACACTGAATATTTTTTTATGACTAAAGATGGTTATAGTGTAGGCGCAGCCAAGTTACACTTGACAGCCTGTAAACATCTTGAGTTATCGATGTCATGTTGATAATCGGTGTTGTTTTCAGGGTATGGGTAGGGTATTATTTTCTGTAATTGTTTGCTCCATAAATATGTACGAGTACACTCCGTCGATTTCTGTATTTTTCCGTTGGTGTAACTTTTTTGTGGGAGAAGAATGCTTCAAAATTGACTGACTGACAAATACAATTATATATTCCTTCTTCTGATATTTTACGCTCTTTCATTTGTAACTAAACGAAAACCATTAATTAAAGGATCGCTTCATACTATTCGAGTGTCACACACATTTAGTTAGCAATAATTATTAGACGAAGTTATAATTTAGGCATATTTGTATTTTTAAATACATATGTATTTTCCAATTAGTCATTTGGCAGAGAAAGAAAATTATATATAATAATTTTGAGTTAAAACGCATTCTACGACTTAAAAGATAAATTATGGTACAGTTAAAATGTATGAAGTTAATATCGCATTAATAGAAATGTTGTTGAGAAACTGAGCAAAAATTAACCTGTTTGATTGGTATTTCCTTAAGCAATTAGAGTTAAGACGCAGGTAATTCGCTGTTGACAAATTCCACAGACAGCTTCATATGAAGTACGTTTTAGTTGTATGATGGATAGTTAGACAGGTGCTTGCGTCTGTTTTTTGTTTCTTCTTTTTATGGTAAAGCCTTCTGTACTTGACACGTCGTCAACATTGGGTCTTAAGATAAGATTCAGAGTCGAGGCTTAGCTCGTACCATAACTCTCGTTTGTCAAAATCCAATACATATAAATCCATACATGCCTTGTTCCTCCAGACGTTTTTCTTCTTATAACTGTTGTTTGAGTATAGAAATTTCTTTCATTTGTACACAGCCGGGGTTTGAACCTTACGAACTAGGATTTAGTTCAAGTGAATTTTAAAATTTGTAACTAAACCTAAATGAATAAAATAAAACCCTTTTTTTAATTAACCCATTTTAGTTTTCTATCTATTGTTTGATGTCCTCCTTATCAGAGCTTAAATTCTGTTGTGTACTTACTTTATTTATCATTTTGTTTATGAAGTTCGAGGGAATCGAATACAGGACCTAGAGTACTGCAGGCTTGATTTTAGGGTTTCGGGAAGTGAACAGATACCTACATTATATAAATTAAATTTATTCTACTAAGTTTATTTTTAGTTTAATGCGATGCAATAATTCTGAATAAATATGAAACAAGATTACGCATATAATATTCCGTGTGGAATGTTTCGCTCAAGATTTATTTCTGTTTTATGGCTTATTAAGATAATTGAGTTTACGCAATTGTTTTGCAAACTTCAGCAATCAAGATTTTTAAATACACTTTAAACAGATTAACAACTGCTATATTGTACGGGAGGTAGCAACGTTTGAAAAGAAAGAATTTTAGGTCAGCTGATTGTGATATGTCTTCCTTTTGCCACTTTCGGTTAGAGTCTGGGCAATCAGGCTGGCGAAGCGGACGCTTCATTAGCTGCGTCCTATCTGTCCGGAATAATCCTGGATTTTAAAAGGATTTTAAGAAGAAGCGTAATTTTTAATTTTTCGTTTTTAAATAAGTCTACCTGACATACTTTTTTATTGCCAGACATTTTTCACATTGCTAACTATGTGCCAGACGCGATTTTAAGTTTTTTTTTTATAAAAATTTCAAAGTATTTTAGAATGTCTGTAATTTTAATATTATGTTCTTTAAATATAAGAAAAACTAAAAATGAATTTGCCAGACATAAATTCGATTGTTAGGCCTTGAATTAAAATGAAAAAGTCATAAAAAGTATCAGAGGAACATTTGAACCATTTTAGTAAAATAATTTTTTTCATCTTGTGTCAATTGAACTGTGTTTTTTTTAAATATTATAGTTAACCTATAATGTACATGAAATAATAATTAGCCTATAAAATAAAACTTAAATTGGATTACATTTAATGTTTTATTTTCGGATTAATAAAATACATCTAATAATTAATACTTCGTTACAAGAGTACAAAACAATAAAGTCATTTAAATGATTAAGAACGGATATACATATATCTTACAAGAGATCTCATCTAAAGCCCTAGTAAAAAAAAGAGTTTCTATGGGGACAGTTTGTCAAAGTTTTTATTTATTATATATAAAAAACATTCCTGTCCGGCGACTCTAAATTGACAAGAGCGAACAATAAGTGAATAAAATTTACAGACGAAACAAAAAAAGCAAACATACAAAATTAATTAGTTAAATAAAATTACATAATAAAATATACAAGAAATATATATAACTAACTACAATAGGGCCTAACAAATAATAGAACTTTTGCCAGTTCACTCAACGGACAATGAAAAAGGTCCGTTAACCTATGTAATTCGTTAACTAAATTAATACACCGAATCATATGTGCCCTTTTCTTATATGTTGCTATCTCGTATAAGCTATTATCATTTCATAATAATCGTTTATTGATATCGCTTCAACTATCTATAATAACTTAAATTAGCTGACACAGCGTTACTTGTATCCGATTACGATAGGCCCCTAAAGAACACACAAGACTATTTAACGTTGTAATAATATGTATAATATATCGGTACCAGTGGCGTAACTATACCATCTGGGGCCCGTGGCAAATCTTCTTTCGTTGATGGGGCCCTATCAGTAAAAATTCTCCCTACTCAGCTTAATTTTTATAAACTTCGAGATTTTCAGCGTACTCAATTACACGTTGTATAGGTCCCACTAATGGCCATAGTCCTCCTCTCTTAGGCGAGATGGAATGGTCTGTAGTTCTTACGCTAGCCCAATGCGTATTGGAGACTCCACATTCATTCATAGAACATAATCTCCTGGGCAGGGGCCCTCTTGAGTCGGGGGCCCGTGGCATTTTGCCAGCTCTGCCACCCCATTGTTACACCACTGATCAGTACCTCCATTAGGAAATACCGATTCGAAATTAATTGAACACCTTAAAAATTCACACGCTATTTGAAAAATAACCCTAGATCAATGGTAGTAATTTAATCATTTATTCTTTCAGGTGATTTCGGGAAGTACCAAGCGTTCCAGTTTTTCCTGCACATCCTGGCAGCTATGACAGCTGGACTTCATATGCTGTCCTTGGTCACTGTGGCGGCAGTACCAGAGCACAGGTTAATTAACATTCTCGTTAAGGGTTATTGGGTATCATTATATTAAAATCATCTGAGCTACCACAGAGTTTTGATCATGTCGCACCTCCGTTGTGCAATATCACTTTTACAAAGTTTACAGGGCGTGCAGGGAAAATAGCGTTTCATGGTAATTTGTGCCCAAACGACAACAGACGTTCTCAATACATAAGAAAGTGTTTTTATCGGACCATTTCTAGGGCAAATGATTGTTATTTATACCTTAAATATCGTAAAAGTGACGACGACGAAGATGCGATATGTTTGTTTTTTATAATGTATTTGGCCAGCTTTAATATTGGTCTTTGGTTTACGTTCCTTCACTTCTTTATACAAACTTCTTTAACATAAAAGGGAAATTTTAACATTACTTCCGTATATTATATATTATCTATTTTTGATACAACAATAATCGTTATATAACAGTCCATTTTCATAAATATTATATACCTTAAGTCACGCTTTTATTGGTGAAAATCGTATAAAATCCGTTCATACGAACACACATAGGTACGGCGGTGGTACTTCATTTTGTAATATTTAAGGATGAGCATAATTTGGCTATTCTAATGCTTTTTACAATAGCGAGATGATATGCAATATTTTAATAAATTTACAAATAATCTTTTCTGATAACAATGATTATAAAGCGACGACAATCTAGTTTTATCTTCACGCGACATTATTAAAATAGACCAGCTGACTGCTATTCCGATCTGAAATCCTTTAAATATAGGTCATTCACATTAAATATTCGGCGGGATTTGATATATATATATATTTTAAAAGTGGTTAGAAACTAAAATAAATAGCAAAAAAAAATGTGTGCGAGTACTAGTGTACACACGTAAGAAGTGAAACTTCTTTATGACCTTATTTTTAGAAAAATGATCTACTAGGTATATGCAACTTTACAGAAATTGGTTAAATAAAGTTAAATTAGATAAAGTTTATCAAAAGGCTTTTCATATCATAGGCATGAACACAAATAATGCAATTATTTAATTTTACCTTATTACTACTAAGATTATTACAGAATTTCATTAATTGTAATTACTATCATTGTTATCGTTATTATATATTTTTGTTATTAATGGCTTCGAATCTCTTCGAATGAACCGTGGTAGGGACAAGAAAAAGATGCGCGTAACGGAAAAATGCGACGCGTAATCGAAACTGGTGACGCGTAACCGAAAAATGTGACGGTAAATTTTTTTCCAACGCCGATAAAGAAGTTTCACTTCAAAAATTAAAAATACCACAGATTATATGACAAAAAAAAATAGTTAGGCGACAAACGTGAAATTTCTGACAATCCATGTACTTGCGGGCTGTAAACCGCTACAATTGCATTAAATTTTATATTCCTCATTGGTCAAGGAGCAGAAACATCTTTGCTTGTTTATCCTGTTTGGTTTATATGTGTCGATTTTCTGTCTTGTACTTTGTGTATGATTAGGGTACATATAAAGTAAAATTTATCAACCACCATATTCGTTGGTACATCTGGGATCCGAATGCACGATCAGGTTTTTATAATCGCACTATAAACGCAACACTGCCAGAAAATACTTTATAATTATTCATTTGACAGATTGTAAATTGTTTACGTAGAAAGTTACACGCAATTACCCTTTAAGCCAAGATTTTAATATCCAGCAATCGTATAGATTAATTTATATTAAACTAAACTAAACTCAAAATAACATATAAGTAACAAAGTAGGTACGTGACGAGAGTTTTAAATTTATTCAGTAATAATTCTCTGATTTCGCTTGGTAGTTTGTTGTGAAAACGAAAACAATTTCCATATAAGGAGTGGTTAAACGATAACAAAAAAAACCTAAAAATTGTTTTGCAATCGTTCAATACTTGATCAAACTGGCTTTTATCTTGTTTAATTCGGACCTATACCTCGGTTCTTGCCTAAGATCTTGTTCAGTTGTGGTACTTTTAAGTCAGCTATGTAATTTTAAATTACTTACCATAAATGTCTCTCAGTCGAACAGGTTTTCACGCATGTTCCACAACCTTTCATTGCATATTTCAATTTTATTACAACCACATTTTACAGTTATTTATACAATTTTATATAAAGCGTCGATTACTACGCATGTGCATGCATTTCAAACATGTATCAGAACAATGTTTAAGCAGCTTTTTCTAGGGCGTTAGGATGGTTGTCATTTCATTTATGTGGGCTGAAAGAATTCATGAAATATACGGGATAAGTTTTGTTCTTTATCACCTAGTTGAATTTACGCCTATGGGAATATCTAAATTTCTTTTTGTATTAATTTATATAAACTTCTATAATAATATATATATATGATGGTCGGCTATTAATTAATTTATAAATTGACCTTGAGTTCGTGTTTATACGATTATACCTTATATTAAAATAATATCTTCCTTTGCTTTGACTAATGTTTTAACATTTTAATATTTAAAAAAATACTTTTATTATAATACATCAAATTAATTATATTGATGTACCATAATAAATGTGACATTTGGTTTGAGATTGTGGAGTCCGCTTTTTAAGTCATTCCGGTGTGCTTTGGTGTTTGTTTCCTACGTGATTGAAAGCGACGGTGTTTATCATGTGAGTATACTTTCCTTAAGGCTATATAATTTATGGCAGGTTAACAAATTTGCTTAATAAATTAACTTGTAAATTGCTTACCCATAAAACTAACATTTGGTGCACATATCTCTTGCATGCTTCGTCGTTATTCCAATTACGTTCGTATTTCATTTTATGTTCTACACATCTGAAAGAAAATTCAAACGCCTTCTAAAGCAATAATTGTATCATTCTGGCCATAATAATAATCTACTTTCAATATAGTCATCGTCTTATTGCACAGCATAGAGCTTCAAAATTGCACCTTCAAAATCTTATATAGCAACATAATAACATTCGTCGTCATTTTGCAGGTGTTTCCTGTCTGGAATAGACAGTTCTAATTATACGGAAGCCTGGAACTCTTCCTTGGTTCTTGAAGCTATACCATTGAATGAACATGGAAAACTGGATTCTTGTAAGGTATACGGAGAAAATAAAACCCTAGAGGAATGCACATCGTGGGTATACGATACACCGTACTTTACCTCTTCGCGTGGTATTGAATGGGATTTTGTGTGTGGAAGGCGCTGGATGGGGGCAGCTGCGCAAACGGCGTATATGTTTGGCGTCGTCATTGGATCAATTGTTCTCGGTCGGTTATGTGATAAAATCGGACGAAAAACCGTCTTTGTGTGGGCAGGAATTCTTCAGTTAATATTTGGTGCTTCAGTAGCTTTTTCGACCGACTATTATATGTTTGTAACGATACGATTTCTATACGGCATATTTGGATCCGGTTCATATATCGCAGGATTCGTACTTACTATGGAACTCGTAGGACCAAGCAGGCGTACGTTGTGTGGTGTCACTTTCCAAATTATGTTTGCCATTGGGATAATGCTAATTGCAGCGTGGGGATATCTCATAGACAATAGGTTCTATTTACAAATTGTCTATGCATTGCACGCGGTCATTCTTTTGCCTCATTGGTTTTTAATGGACGAATCTCCAAGGTGGCTTTGGACGCAAGGCAGAGCCCGGGAATGCGTAGCTATAATTAAAAAGGCTTTGAAAATGAACAATTCTTCCGAAACGATTGACGCGTCGTCACTAGTCTCTCAATGTAAAGCGAAGAACGCCAAATATGCAAATGAAGAAGCGGCGGGAACTTCTGACCTTTTCAAGTCACCAAATATGCTCAAAAAAACTTTGATAATTTGCGGTTGCTGGTTTGCGAATTCAGTTGTTTATTACGGACTGTCATTGAACAGCGGAAAGTTAAATGGAAATCCATATTTTATATTTTTCCTTATGGGTGTGGTAGAGATGCCTAGCTATGTGATTATTATGCTTTATTTAGACCGCGTTGGGCACAGAGCGCTTATAAGTGCAATGATGTTATTTGGAGGAATTGCTTGCGTTGCCGTTGTGGCCTTGCCGCACGGGTCCATGGCTGCGACGGTGGTCGTCATGATTGGAAAGTTATTTATTTCTGGATCTTATTCAATCATTTACAAATATTCGGCTGAGTTATTCCCTACCGTAATCCGTAGTTCCGGTGTTGGTTTGGGAAGTATGTGCGCAAGTGTATCGGGAGCTTTGACGCCATTGATAAGTTTATTAGACACTTTGAATCCTAAAATACCGACATTTGTTTTTGCGGTGTTGGCTTTATTATCAGGGTTCTCGGCATTTTTCCTTCCCGAGACAATTGGAAGAGACTTGCCGCAGACAATAGAAGATGGAGAAAAGTTTGGCGTCGGTGATAACTGTTTTACTAATTGTAGCGGACGACAAATGAGTGTAGATTCTATTGATGTACCGGAAACCATGGTACCTTTAGATGGAGAGAAGAAACAATAATCTAAAACAAACACTGCGGAAATAAATGACAATCAATGACAGTCAATACATATTTCGTAACTGTTTATTCAAAATTGCATCAAAAATTCAGTATACTAATTAAATTATGCAGCATTACTTCTTGGAAGTGTTACTGGAAGGTAAACTGTTTAAGTTTTCACATTAAATATACATGTATTTTAAGTTATTTTACTGAATTCATGTATAAGGCACACTTTTTTGCAATTCCAAATTGAGTCCTATAATGGAAAACTATATGTATCATATTGTTCATAGTGTTGCTGATATAAGTTACGAGCTTGAAAACCGGCAATAAATTAATTAGGTTTAAGTTATATTTTAGCGGAATTAGTTATAAAAACGTAATGTCAGTAGACAAGTCGAAATTGGCATTTATATTTTTATTACTATCTAGTCCTTATTGAAACAATTAGACTGGATTTTAATGTTAGGTTGTTATTGACTGTACAACAGCGCCTTTGCAGCACCATGATTTATACGTATTAAACAATCGTTTGTGTAAAATATTTGTAAGAATAGAGAATTCTGCTGTAATATTTTTCATATAATTTTTTTCCTTTGTCGCAATAACTATTGTAAAACGTGAACTAAACATTTATTTCATGTATATTTTAGTACGATACCATCTTCTACTTTTTATGAAGATCCGCTTTAGTGAATAATGCGATCATTTTCATGCATGTAAGCAAGTCTTATTCAAATATCTGGATGCTATTTACTCGAAAGTTTTGTGTACTGTTCTTGGTACAATGTTAAATAGGTTTGACGTAATTATTGTTTATTTAGTAATACATGTTTGGGTCAATTTGCTTAGATGTTTGTAGTGTAGGCAACGTATTAATATTTATTGTGTTTTTTTTTAATTAAATGGCAATGTGTATACATTTTATTAAATTAACAATTTCTGGGAAAACTTCTTATGTAAATTGTGTTTGAAAAATTTCTCTTTCGCATGTTAAGTGTACGAGGTATTGTAATGTTTTACATAGAATGTTAATTTTAAGTGATTACGACAAACAATTAAATATTTCACTCTTATCTTCACTTTAGTGCATATTTAAGTATGCTCTAAGTATCTCTAATAATTTCGTACACACACACAGGCAATATACAAATATTCTTATGTAATACATGCTTCATAAAGAAAATGTTAACTTGTAAAAGGATTTCACATTAAATATTCATACTTAGTCACTAGAATTTGTATAGTAAATAAAATATCTGTCTATAGATCAAATATGTTTATTAAAATTTCCAAGTATATTCTGTGCTGAGAATGAAGTTAGGTGCTAATTCATTATTACGTACTAGGGTAAAACTAGTCAAATTAAGTCTGAATTTGCAATTCAGGATATTTGGCGAATAATAACTTATCGTCACTTCTACTGACATGAATTTAAGATTAATAAATAACTTAATAGTCAGTGTCACTTATAGTCTGTGCCAACTGTTTGCCATCCTTTGTGCCTTATAACTAGTAAGTATGTATATGTAATAAGCTTTTAATCACAATTATTGTTATGGGTATTTAATGATAGCGGAAACTATACGTAAAATACTTTAACCTTTGATATTTTTGTTTATATTTGGTATATACGGTGAGTGTACTTCTAAGAATTAAAAAAAAGAAAAGCCTTATCACACGCGAATCTATGAATGCAATATTACCATGTTGGTCGCTCACGTATGTAATTAAGGTTAATCGGCCTAAAATTTGACTGAAAAACAAAATTGTATTTTGTAACAGGGTTGTAGGCTTGCTAAATTAATAGGATAAGGTGATTTTTATATTAGAATAATAAACCTAATACAAAAATATGCTTTGTTACGTAAAATATGTAAAGATTATCTTAATATCCTTTTTACTGTGTCATGTTTTTTATATTGTTTCCTTAATAAAGTTTTAATTATTATTATCGTATTTTATTTATATTTTTGTTGGAGGGAATTCGAGTGCAATACATTGCAGTTCATTATTTATTTTAAATTTGTACATCAATCATACATACATCCTAACACTTAGATTAATCAAAGTCATAGTAAAATGATTAAAATTCATACAAATTGCTAATTTACGTATTGTGTCAGGCATGATTTTTATTGCCCCGATGAAGCTAAAATACAATAGTTTTTTTATTGATTACAATTTTTGTATACCTTTTCAAATACACTCGTTTGTATTGATTTAAATTTTCTAAACTGTGCGTCTTACTAAGTACATCAAACCAACAATGAAGTTATAATTGGCAAATTTTGCAGTTATTGTTAAGTACATTATTATTAATTATAGATATTTACTGAATTTTAAAAATATATTTAAATCCTTAGACTGCTTGCTTAGAAAAGTATCTCATTTCAGATGCTGGGTAGAAGGTGTGGACACGAACGAAACTATAGCCTCGTGGAACTCAACAGAAATTCTGCAATCAATTCCTTTAACTCTGGGTGGGGGTCTACACAATTGCCTTGTATACAATGAAGACAATGAAACTGAAGCGTGCACCAAATGGGTATATGACTCGAGGTACAGAACGTCTTCGCGGGCCATTGAATGGGATCTTGTCTGTGACCAAAGGTGGAAGGGAGCTTTAGCACAAACTATTTACATGTTGGGTGTATTCACCGGAGCAGTTTACTTAGGAGGATTAGCTGATAAATATGGACGAAAGACTGTATTTTGCTGGTCATCAGTGTTGCAATTAATTTTAGGTGTTGGCGTAGCGTTTATACCTGAGTACTGGTCTTTCTTAGTTGGTACGTTTTTCTATGCACTATTCGGCTCTGCTGGTGCTTATACTCCGGCGTTTGTGTTGACTATGGAAATTGTTGGTCCTAAGAAACGAACCAGCTGTGGTGTAGCCTTTCAATGTGCCTTTGCTGTGGGAATAATGTTAGTCGCCGGCTGGGGAGCACTTATCGACAATCGAGTCCTCCTTCAAGTTGTATATGGATTACATGGTGTCATATTAATCCCTCATATATGGATAATGGATGAATCACCAAGATGGCTGTGGGCGCAAGGACGAGCTAAAGAAGCTGTCGACATCGTGCAAAAAGCTCTTAAGTGTAACAAATCTGATGAAGTTTTAGATAGAGCTGAACTTGTTTCTAAAGGTAGAGTCGAGGCATCAAAGGGATCAGAAGAACAGAGTGCTGGTATTATTGATCTATTTAAGACTCCTAATTTAAGAATTAAAACCATAAATATTTGTTTTGCCTGGTTTGCCAATTCTTTAGTTTATTATGGTCTTACACTCAGTACGGGAAAGCTTGAAGGAAATCCTTATTTAATTACAGCTGTTTTTGGACTCGTTGAATTTCCAAGTTATGCATTTGTTATATATTTTCTTGACATTTGGGGTCGAAGAGCGTTAATGAGTTCTATGATGATTATTGGCGGAGGTGCGTGCGTTATTGCAACATTTTTGCCATCAGGTTCTATGGTTTCTACCGTTATTGTTATAGGTGGAAAACTGTTCATTGCTGGATCATTTGCAATTATTTACAATTATTCAGCTGAATTATTCCCCACTGTAGTAAGGAACTCGGCTATAGGATTAGGTTCTATGTTCGCTAGGCTGTCTGGAGCCCTTACTCCATTAATAACCTTACTCGATTCTTTTAATCCGAAAATTCCAGCAGTAACATTTGGAATCGTAGCACTTTTATCAGGTTTTCTTTGTTTATTTTTGCCTGAAACGATGAATCAACCAATGCCACAATCTCTTAATGACGGTGAAACCTTTGGCAGAGGCGACAACTGCTTTGGCAGTTGCTTAGGGAAAAAGAGTAATAAAACATATGCTGCTGATGAAAAAACCACCGAGGCAATGGTTCCACTTGGTGATATGAGTAAGGGAGCTTAAGAATCGATCTAATATTTTGAAATTTACATAAGATTGAACGAGAAAACATTTCAGTTGTTCCGTCCAAATTAATTGATCCTGTTAATTCATACTTCAGTAAGAGAGTTGTTTTAGAAAGTCATTCCATATATCGGATTCACTTTTGTGAGTTCTTGTATTTTGACAGACATGTGCTTTATTCGTTCGACTAGTTAGTTGGTTAGTTGTTATTAGTTTTAAAAGTTCAAAGATTATCGAGGCTTGAATAATTAAAGTACTATACAATTAAATAAAACTATTTACTATTTAATCTTTATATTTTTGCTATTTTACTTATACTTCGCTTAAGCAGTTATTTTTATTCAACGCACAAAAGTTAATACAAATGCTATGTTCGTTAAATACACCATTCCACTATCTTGTACCTTGCATTTCATATTACTTTAGTGTTTATGTCGTTATATATAGATATTATGTTAGTGTATACTTTATATGTTCCATATCCGTAGATTTACATAAGTAAATATAATAAACCATTTACAACAGCAATGCAATATGTTACCAATTCCCAAATATCTATGTTTTAAATAGTATTAAAATTTGTGATAAATAAGATCTTATAACTAAATTGTTGAATATATTTTTCTTAAATTATATATAGATATTGAATTTTGAATAAAAACTTAGTTTTAATAATTGGAAATTAACTTGTAAAAATAATAATAATCTTACATTTATTTGTTAGATTAATAGTGAAATTGTTTTACTTTAAATAATTTTATAGTTTTTTCAATAGTATAAAACATTGTTAAATATTATAGTACAAAGATTGACTTGATAAATTTGAATAGGTAAAGTATATAAAATTTGTTATATATTTTCATTTTAATTTTATTATTGTCAAATTATTAATGTTTAATATCAATCCAAAGTGTTCCTGTCACAAGCATTATTTATCAAATCAAAAGAAAAGCTAAATTCTTCGATTAGAATTATTAATATATACAAAAAGAAATGACGTTTTTTACAAGAGTCAATGTATATGTGGAGAAATAGAGAATAACTATATTTTTATGGATGAAATACATTGTGTGCCTTAAGAAAGAGTTTTATCTATATTTTAGGGGAAAAGAATCTAGAAATTGTATTTCCTATACCAAAGGTAACAGAAAAGGAATAAATTATTTTCTCGCCAATGTAGTTTTATTTTAAAACCTTATTACTAATTCGACGTCCGCCGAATTCAGTAGCATAATTCATCATATGACGAACCATAAGCAAATAACTTTTATTGATAATATACACTATGATACAGTATGATATGTATAAAATAAAGACAACCTACAAATATAAATTTAAGCGTCATTAGAAATCATTGACATTGACAAAATAAATTGTCCAAATCAAGTTCTCCTCGCAACCCAATATGTTTCAATTTATTTACCAATAATATTGCAATTTCAACCCAAGATCTAAAAGTATACAAAGGCATGTAATAGTATGAGTTAGAATAATGACAATAGTTCCCATTTTATGAGTGTTCAGAGAAGTTGTTTGAATGAATACCTGCAGCTGAGTTTCATCATCAGAATACGAAATTCCACCCGTATCACCTCGACGTCCGTCGTTCCACGACTAGAGAGTTTTTTAAGGCAGTTTTTGCCGCGCACCACCACTATGTGGAACCGCCCACTAAAGTATTTCCGAACCAATTCGACTTAGGGTCGAACCAATTCGATTGAGCGCAATATGTACGCTTTTTCTTGGAGATGACCATGGGCGGCAGTATCTCTTAACATACTTCCATAACATGAGCTTCCTGCAAGTTTGCCCCCTGTTCTATAAAAAAAAATTGAAAGTTAATATTGACCAGTGTAGGTTCGTAAGTACCAATTGCAATATCTCTCTGTATCTGTCTCTATTGCTTTTGAATAATTCAATAAATCTTTTAATTTCGCTTCTTAAACTTATGCGGCGTTGCCGCATGTTGTAGTCGCTATTCAAATATTGGCAACCTCGAGGCATCAGGTTCGAATTATTAGGTAAATATTTGTTATTTTGATACAGCTTCTGACATCATTTCAAAATTTGAAATTACCACGAGAGTTACGGCTTTTCCTTAGCAATGATTTTTTACTTCAATTGTCTTTGATATAGGTGTATTCTAAGGCTGATATATACCCCGCGTGAGTAATTTAATTCTAATGGTAATATAACAATATAGTATGTAGTACCTATCTCGATAATTAATATAGTTCTGAGGAAAATTGCAAAAATATTCTACAGTAAATTTAGTGGTTTTTCCATTTTGCAGGTGCTGGGTGGATGGCATAGATGACAATGCATCAATGGCAAATTGGAATTCGACAGAAATATTGGATGCTATTCCTTTAACATCTTCTGGTAAACTTCACAAATGCTTAGTGTTTACTGAAAACAACGATACGAGCACATGTTCGAAATGGGTGTTTGACACCACATACAGGGCTTCCTCGCGCGGAATGGAGTGGAATCTCGTCTGTCGCAACTACTGGAAAGGAGCACTAGTCCAATCATTTTATATGTTAGGTGTATTTGCTGGTGCAATTATTCTAGGCGGTTTAGCAGACAAAATCGGAAGAAAAACGGTTTTCTGTTGGTCAGCTCTACTTCAACTGCTTTTTGGAGTACTCGTCGCGTTTATTCCAGAATATTGGATATTCTCAGCGTTTACCTTTTTATATGGAATGTTTGGATCCGCCGGTGCCTTTATACCCGCATTTGTGCTAACTATGGAAATCGTTGGTCCCAGTAAACGTACTAAATGCAGTGTTGCCTTTCATTGTTGCTTCTCTTTTGGCATGATGTGTGTTGCAGTTTGGGGAGCGATCATTAGTGATAAAACTATCTTGCAAGTCGTATACGGGCTGCATAGTTTAATTCTTATACCGCATTTATGGATTATGGATGAATCACCTAGGTGGCTTTATGGACAAGGGAGAGTTAAAGATGCTGTCCAAATAGTACAGAAAGCACTTAAATTTAATAAATCAGATATAGTTTTGGATACAGCGGAGTATGTATCAAAAGCAAAAGCAGAGCGCTTTTTTCAAAAAAAAACAACAGTGGCTAAAACAAAAGCTGGAACTCTTGAACTTTTTAAAACACCTCATATACGAAATATGTCAATAATAATGTGTATTTGTTGGTTTGCCAATTCTTTGGTATATTATGGGCTAACACTGAGTTCTGGAAAGATGGAGGGGAATCCCTACATTATAATTGCCGTCTTTAGTCTCGTTGATATTCCAAGCTACCTTATGGTGTTTTACTTCCTAGATATATGGGGTCGTAGATTATTTATAAGTATCGCTATGTTAATAGGAGGTACTGCTTGCGTTATAGCCGCCTTTCTACCAGAAGGAGCGACAGTTACAACTGTGATAATAGTGATAGGGAAACTATTCATAGCAGCATCGTTCGCTATTGCTTATAATTACTCATGTGAACTTTTTCCAACAGTAGTACGCAATACTGCGTTAGGTTTAGGCTCTATGTTTGCTCGTCTTAGCGGAGCTCTAACTCCTCTTATTACATTATTGGAAAGTTTTGATGCAAAGATACCTGCCATTACATTTGGTGTGTTCGCCCTTGTATCTGGATTCCTTTGCATGTTTCTTCCAGAAACTATGAATAAACCTTTACCGGAAAGTATTGAAGATGGTGAAAATTTCGGAAAGGGCGATACTTTATTTTCTACCTGCTTTAGAAAGAAAGCTAAGAAACCCTACACAGGTGACGAAGATGAAGAAGCTACCCAGTCGATGGTAGTGAATTCTGCTGCAGTAAGTTCTTAAGTTATCTATCACTTTTATCGATTGTGGAAATCCGTCCATAAGTTGTAATGATCCGATTGTAATGATCCGATTACCTATAAGTTTTTATATAAATTATAATTAATTTGATATGTATAGGGATCATAATAGTTATTCAATACGTATTTTTAGTAAGTTTAAATATTTGAGCTTTAATGTATTCAATACTTAAACTACCTTAATTATCAATCTGGAGCATAATTCCAATTATGCCAAGTTAGGTACATGTTAGTCTTAATTTCTTTACAACTAATAAATTATATAAAAAAATAAATGTTTGTATAAAATGTAAGTGCTATTATGTTTAAGATTTAAAGAATATAATTAATATTCTAAACGACTAGTATATATACTATAATTTTTCGGTTTGTATAGGTTATGCTGGAAAATCAGGCAATATTGTTTGGACACCTTACCTAAGTAACAAAAAATTATAGACAACGAAACTTACTTATTTTATGTTAACAATTCATGTCAAAAATTTAAGGTTTATTTAGTAAAAGGTATCATTGACGTGTATTTTTTCAATAAACCCATTTTTTTTTCAAAATTATTGACTTTTTTTTAAATCTTTTTAGTATAATGTTTTCATTCTTTGAAATCAAACCACGAAATTTAACCAAATAATTTAAATCAATTTGTATACGAATTTCTAGGACTAGGACTTTAGATTACTAAATAAAATGCACTTATTCCGTAATATTTTGTATTTACATCAAACAATAGTAGAAATCACAGCAATTATAAATAACATTTACAATGTGACAGTGAGAAACATTATTAATTTATCAACGAGATCGCATTTATATCTAATACCGAGACATTCATACTTGAGAATTTAACATGAGATTTTCATAAATAATTAATTACTAACTTGGCTAAATACCGCCGGTGTTTTTAAAATGAATATTGAAAATGTAAACAAGAAAATACGAAACACATTTATAAATAGCAAAGCAAATAAGATAATTGTATTGCAGATAATTATTGCCAATGTACAATTTAATAAGCTTACAAGATTAACAACAAAACAATTGGCTTGTCTGCAAAAATATACGACATTAAAAAGCCAGGTTTGAAAAAAAAATATGTTTATGTAAATAATTTTCAATCACAAGAAATAAAAAATATTTTAACATGCATAAATTTATATTATACATATAACAGTTATTATTATATACACATATTTAAAATATGCATTTACAAATAATGCAATTAATTTATTTCTAAAGCTCTAAAGACCATAATTATATATAAATTTTAACATGAGGCCACAACACAGAGAGAGAGAGACATTTAGACCATAAATTCAGAGATTAATAATAATAAAGAGAACCACATAGAGAACTTGTTTATTTATATCTAGATATAAGATTTATTCCAATGAATAAAACATAATAGATATTTTAATAAGAACACCCGAAACAATTAATTTACAAGTGTTGGTAAACATATTGTTAGTCAGACTCTATATAAACTTAATATATTTATCTTTGAAAACCTTTTCAAAGATAAATATATTAAGTTGAGCAAACAAAATTGTTTGAATGATATCCTGGAAAGTCATGATATGTTACATTAAATCAGTGTCCTAAAATACCTATAAATTTTGGATTTTATAACATCACCTTTTAATATTTAAAAATGTTGGTGTTCCAGAAACGGTGTGTTAAATAGATATCCAAAATTAAATCTATATTTATCTAATAACTGAAAACATAAATGTTATGTTATTCAAAAAATAGCACCAATATAATTTTATTATTACTCACATAAATAAATTAAAAAGCAAATTTATCTACCTAAATTGGTAATACTGGGCATAAGTTAATAAAAGTGGATTATATGTAAGTAACATTAATGTGTTTGTAGATATAATAATGGTAAATTTATATAACTGAGCCCATATATTACCAGTTTAATTTAAATTTCACTAATTTTTAGTAACTCTGCAATATCTTTGGCATCACGGGTCAAATTGACTTCTGTGACAGAAAAAAGCATTGGACTGCTACTCTAAAAATATAATTCATCTACAAATTCCAACAAGGCATATCAGTATTCAGGACATCTTGTGTGTTGAATCTTACAGGATATGGGTGCAGGCTCAGCAGATAGGGCTGTGTGCACAATAATCGCAGGCTGTGTCGGAGTAGGGGCATGTAGTTCATGACTTTCTCCAGGAGCCAAACTAGCTATTGCTGCTAATAAATCAGCATTTACTATAGGTTCACCTTCTTCCCGTGGCTCCCATCCAATAGGAGGGCTAGCTGGTGGGGAAATCAGATATTGCTTGACGGGCGCTGGCGGTTGCAGATTCTTCAATGAAATTGGCGTAACAGGTTGGGCAAAATAACAATTAATATAGGTACTATGGAAGTGATACTGATGAAGTTGTACTCGTGCGTTGGCTGCGGCTAGAGGGCTGTCGTAGTTCACACGTAGGCGTTTAAAACTTTTTAACCACTGAAAAGTTATATTATCAGAAAACGTACGAAATAAATCTTCAAGTTCTTTTTTCAACTTCTCGTCGGAGAAGACGTCGCTTGGTATATTTGTTACAATCACGGACTTTGGTAGATCGTCAAATTCGTTAAGTTCGTCATTGGAATCACTGTCCGGATGTATATCAGCGATATTTGGATGAACATTAGGCATTCCATCTTCAGGATTTATATATACGTCATCTTCTTGAAAGGTTTCGTCGTCTTCTTTGTCAGCCATCGCGACTTGAGAGTTAAACCTAAAGTTAAAAATAATTAAGCAGTTTACGAAACTGTGATTACTGATCTAAAAATATTTTATCAAATTCAAAACAATCGATCCGATTTCGGAATACATTTAACATAAATGTCAAATGCTTATTGTCAAACCGAGTAAATTAAACCTTGATTGACACTTTGTTTTAAAGCTTAAAAAAAAACATACATATACTAATATATGTTATAGTTAAGAGTAAAATAATATTTATTATGATTTTTATAAATGTATTTGTGGTTTCTTAGAGCTGAGCTTACTTATTTGACAATGTTCAGCAGCGCCTAGACGAAGAATGAAGTGGTTTTAGTGGAATGTCGATTGTAATTTTAGATAATTATAGCACATTTTTAAACATACCTACCTAAACTTACATCTAAAATGATGATGACAAACGATTAAGTAAATGATTTTACATAAATTTAAAATTTTAATTTAGGCTCTAGTCTGTGCCTTTGTTCTAAGTTTTTTTGACACTGTTGTTCTTTTTATAATAAGTTTGCAAGAATATGGTAAATAACAAAATTTTTATGTTGGCACAATTTAAACCTTGCATATTCTGCCATACATAATGGCGTGGACTTTTTTTTACATAATTTGCTACTGTTTACCATATTTAGCTCTCTAGTGTGTTCCTGTGGTGAATTTTTTATCTGTACTCAGTAGTCAGTGGTGTATTCGTATTTCTTATTTCGTATTGTCAAATGGTGAACTGTGTGTATTTACATTTTATGTTACAATTTATGTTTCTCGTCGTCTCCAAAACAAACTCGTAAAGCTTCAGCTTTGGATTAATAACTTTACATTACATTTTTTTCATTCTATTTCAGCCCGTTTAACAAACAAATTAAACCAGGGGCATGAAAATGGCGGGAGTAGAATCAATGGTTGTCGAAGAGGTTAAACCGGCAGAAAAACCAGTTGATAGAGAAAAGGTTAACACTTTATAATAATTCATAAGAATAGATGCAAACTTAACAAAATCTTCTAAATATTAATTCTATTTATAAATATAACATGAACCATTAAGTCATCTTAAAATACCTTTTTTGCCGATCAATGCATATGCATTGACAGATTTCTGTTCTTAGTTAATTTACCACCACAGATTTTATTTAAAATAATAATATTTCAGACTTGCCCTCTTCTGCTTCGAGTTTTTTGTTCAACTGGCAGACACAATTCTCCTGGTGACTATGCAAGAGGTGGGGTTCCGCAGAATGAGTTGCAAATATACACATGGATGGATGCAACTCTTCGGGAACTTACTAGCCTAGTTAAAGAAGTGAATCCTGAGACACGTCGTAAGGGTACTTATTTTGACTTTGCCATTGTGTATCCAGATATGCGGACACCAACATATCGCATGAGAGAAATTGGTGTTACATGTTCTGGTCAAAGAGGGAATGATGATAATAAAACTCTTTCCCAAGTCAAGTTTCAAATTGGCAATTATTTGGATATATCAATCACTCCCGCTAATAGAATGCCTCCTCCAATGAGACGTCCACAACCCTACATGAATAATCGACCATACTAGTGATAAGTGTGTAATTGTAATTTTTTAAAAGTAATTATAGGAACTATGCGAGTACTACTTATAATTTTATATCCTTTCACCTTATCTTCGTTACCATTAGACTATTATGGCTTCATAGACTTGTTTTTACAAATTCTGTCATCTGATTTATACTCTGATTTTTCATTCCGTAGAATTCTAACATTTCATTAGTGTTGCTACTAAAAAAGTTCTCCATCGAAAAAGGGACAAATTTGACCCATTTGAAGGCAATAAAAAAATGCGATGTATTTTTTATGTTCTTTCTACAAAAAAGTAATTCTAAATATTTACTTAGTCAAGTGACAATACAAAAATAACAAATATTTCAATATCAAACAATATATCAAATTGAATTTAATTACTTTATTTTATTCTTTAGCTGGCATCACTGCCTACTAGTTCCAGGTTTAGTAAACCTTTTTAAAAAATAAAATATGTATCTTTACTTTTGCGCATTACCACTCGCCGTAAAACCACTTTTAATGTGGACCTCCACACTTAATAAAATGGATACATTCACTAACAAATAAAATATATGAATAGACTCAGATGTATTGAAATTGAAAAATGTGCCTGGCCAAAAGGTTTGTCATATCTGACATGTCAAAAAATGATAGCTGTCAGAATTCTATTGAATTAAAAATCAGAGTATAGAAAATTGGTCCCAAGTACTAATAACAAGTTTTTTATTTACTTTAGTCATTGCTGGGACGTATAAAACTGAAACTACTGGAAGCAACAATATATTCTGTCTTGCTTAACTACCTCACTACTTATTAGTTGTCATTGTGAGTTGACTGTTCAGACAATTCTTATTCAAATAATAGATTTGAAATTGTATCCCAGTTTGTTCACTTATGAGAGTCACCAAACTGCATTTTTTTTTAAATTTTGTACTAATATGACACTGATAGATTCAGCAGTTCTATGTAATTTAAACATATTGAAAGAGATATAAAACTAAAAAAATAACCTATAAAAAGCTATGTTAAATAAAATCAAATGTATTTTTTAATTTTATTTGTCAGTACTTTAATCATATGTTACATGATCACGAACTCACATTCTTCTTACAATAAAACCCTAAAATAAATACATATTAAATCCTAATGCTCTAGTGATTAGTTGGTGATCTGAATGGCCTCTTCGACTTCTTCCCCATAGCATTGAGATCAATTGTAATACCGTTTGGTAATACTGCCTTGTTTTCCTGGTAGTCAATAAAGCCTTTTTGGTTTTGCTCATCTCTTGTGTTGTCACAAGCAATACCGGTCTCATAGTTGTATTCTCTTTTCAAACCATCTGGATCGATGTAACCATATTTGCCCCTTGTAATACAATTATTTCCTATAATTTCTTCTTTGAAAGTACCATCGTCATTTTCGAAACCCCAAGTAATACTGCCGTCTTCGTTTTCTTCTCTGTATTTACGGATAATTTGTGAGACTGGCTTCTTTTCCCTGTTGTTCGAAGGAGAGTATTTCTGAGGTGCAGCTTTGACAGGCGCTGCACGGATTGGTTCTTGCGGTCTATTGTATTGTCTGACGGGCTGAATATCATCTTCATCCGCAAATGGTTTTGGTTCAGGGCGAAGAACTGGGCGCTGAGGTCTGCTGGATAAAGGTTGCAACCTGACTGGTTGTGGCCTTGGTTCGTTTCTGATTGGAATAAACGATTGTGGTAGGAGTGGGCGGTATTGCGTTGGTCTTACGTTTTCGAGTTTAGGTAATGACGGGGTTGTTTGCGCAAATGGTGAAGAATTAAAGGCACTAGGGGGTTTTGGTTGGGATGTCGTTGTAATATCGAAATAGTCGTTTTGTGGTTCGGGGGTTGAATAAGCATTGCCATATGCTGTTGGAGTGTTGATTTCTATTTCGTCCTCTGGTTCTTCAGTGACTGGTTTTGCTGGTTCTTCTAAAGACTGCAGACTCGGCCGCGGCGCAGCGTCAACGGATTTGAATGATGGTCTTGCGAGGCCTGGCCTTCTCACTCGGGCAATAGGGATTGGAGCAGCTTGGATTCTGCCTTGCCTAAAACCGCCTTGCCTCGAACCTCCTACTTGGACCGCGCCAGGAATCTGTAGCCTTGGCGGTGCAGGGCCATCGAACTGTGCGTAAGCTGTGACCGCACATAGCGATAATATCTGAAAAATAAAGATAAGTTGAATCGAATTACAAGGTCAATTAATCCAAATAATTTAAAGATCTCAGTACGTTGTCACGTGACATAGTCTACATTTACTGTGGAATTCGCTACGCAATCATTGAATACTTTCGAGTGTAACACTAACAGGCCTTGCCACGCACTTGATTGACTGGCCATGCCCTGTTCAATTCTGTCTCCTTTTCACCACATACCTTTCAAATACCTACCTAAGTTAATATTATGTACGTTATTATTCTCAGATTGTAATTAAATAAGCATCAGGTTTCAGTTTTCCAACAAAATTCTGCATGACAAGTAGCATAAAGAAATCTCAATTACTACCTAATTTGAAATCGATTTCTTATTTTGAAATATTTTATGAAATTATTGTATTTACCTGTACTAATTACTATAAAGAGGATAAACAACAGTTTGGATATATGTAATCCTTAAAGTTTAATAAGTAATAGTTTTATTTTATTAAAGTGACGATGTACCTAACCTTGATTAATTAAAGTAAGTATTCATTTTTGAAGTTTGATGTACATAAAATTTAAGTAAGTTCTTATTACAATAATGTTATCACAAATTTATCGGACAACAGTTTATAATGAAATTATTTTCGATTATTATCGGAAATTAGTTCACTTGAAGACTACGTAACCACATAATGAGAATAGCCGCATGTTAACAAACAATTTGCATACATAGCGCTGATAAATAGCAATTATGAATTACTATTTTGCATGAAAAAACTAAGTAGCCATATTAATCTTTAAAAAATATAGGAACTCACATTATTCATATAGCTTACGTATGAAAAAGTCTGCACACAATCAAGTTTCAAACAATCTTATATTAGAAAACAAAGCCTACGATAACGTCTGGGGACTGTTCAGAAATATAAGCTTAAGATTCGAATACTGGAGAAATAAAAAGTCGGTAGAATGTATAGAAAATAGATAATAGGATATGTACGATATAACTGAATTTATGACACATTCTCGTAAATTAAAAAAAGATTCCGTTAATAATCTATGCTAAAATCAAAACATGGAAGCAAATTAAAAGCAGGAATCTTGGTTAAGGTAAAGCAGTTTTTCTTTCGGTAAAAAAAGGCTGGAATTCGTTGTTTAAGTATCGGGTCTCGGTCAGAAACATAAGGACGACAACTAAACCGCTCTTCCGACAAGGTTGTTACGTATATATATGTAGTTCATTTATTTTTAAATCTACATATTCGCTCTTATAAAGTGGAACCGTTATTTTAGAATAACGTTAGTGCAGCAAATCGTTATATGTGTAATAGATTGTTGACTTTGAAAACCTAATATTTTGTATGAAAAATATAGTAATAGTTTTTTAGTTTCACATTTTAAAGTAGAATAATATAAATGATAACTACCCATATTAGGGACTTGAACAACTTTTAATATGCAAGGTTGTTAAAACTGGTAAATGCAATCGTCAAACAAATATTATTTTTTATCTGACATATGTTTACGAAATTATGAATTATTAAATATATGTGGTGTCAGTCAGTACGAGGCTAATTCCGCATGCCTTTGCAATCATATAATTTATTCTAACATAATAATGCCCTATCAAGACCAGAAATAAAGATAAGATTAATGCAATAGTTAAAGTAACACAAATTCGAGCTATACAGACACGTTATTTTTCTAGAGAAACTTAAAAATGAAATTTCTGTACAACGCGTTTATTGCAACGTGTTTATTCAACACAATTTTATATACAAATAAAGTTTTAAAGCAGTAATTTATGAAGGACCATACGTTGAATTCTGTTTTGCTAAAAAATCAACGGAAAATTTATACTTGTATATTGAACAGACAATAAAGGCTATTCATTATTGTAGTAAAACCATTGTCAACTTATGTCTAATGCAGGACACGTGAACCGAGAGCGCGTTGAAGTCTTTTGTTCTTCAGAATTTGCGAGACCATCTACTTGTTTATTTTAGGTCGCCAGACAAGCTTAAATGGATTAGTCATAGAAAATAATGCCACTGTAGTACTTATGAATCACAATTGGTTTACTTACGCCATTTAACGTTGTATTATATACTTCAATTCCGGGTACATTTAAAAATTATATAATAAAATAATGAGCCTAATGAAAGAAAATTAAATGACATATTAAACAATCAAATTTGACACGCTCTATTAAAATTACTTGATTCTTTTTTTACGAGAGTTATATTTATAAATATTGTAGTTTATGTGCAACCGTGCAAATTAGCAGTTACGATCATTTCTAACTGCGTGATGAATAATTTTATATAAAATTTCACAACAAAGAATGCTTGAAATATCAGAGTGCAATTACTTAAATGCAAAATTGATTGTAATTCAAAAGGTCACTGCCAACCGACGGAATGTAGCATTCTATTGTAAAGGATTTTAAATCGCTTATAAGTTGTTGTCTTTTGTTGTAGTTTTGATTTTATGTCCTGATTTTTTATTGATCTTTGAGACCGACTTTGTCCAATACCAAACAGAATACGAGTACATTAAAATATTCAGGAAGATTGGTAATACATAAGTTTATTATATATTAAAATAATGAAGTCCTTAAAGCTTCGTTTGCCTACACACCCCTACTATTAGTTCCTCATTCCAATTTGACGTAACGAATAGATAGTAGCCGTAACTAAAGTACAATAACTTTGCAATTTTGTTGCGATTTCCAAACCTATGTGTTGCAGAACGAGAAGTTAGCGTATTTATATTTCGCAACGTCAATATAAAATTATATTTTATTTCTTAATTCCCATGGTCTCATTTAATATCGCAACTGTAGACTGGTATATCAAGTGAATTATTTAATATTGATTTTAAAGTTATACGGATAGCAATGAAAGTGATTTTTTATATAATAATGCATATGTTATAAAATTTGTGTAAGTACAACACACAAATATAATTAAATGTTATTTTCATATGCTTATCTGAGGCCATTTTATGGATGCTGTATGAGCCGTCTTCCCTAAAAGAATAAGAAGTTCGTCGAGTCGAAGGCCTGGACACATTTTGGGTCCCAAAGGTAGCAGAGGAAGTCTATGTATAAGAAAAAATACCACCAAATATTGTGACACTCTTGATTATTCGCCTTTCATTGCTGTCTGTACAACTTTAGTCGAATTATATCTAGTTAAGCCTGTTGGCCACTCGCCAAGAAAATATTGCGTGATTTACGTAATAATAAATACGACAATTGTTTATCGTGTTTTCACATTGAACAATTAGTTCCGCTTTATGAATTAAAAAGGGCATATTTTTGAAAGGTTACGTGAAAACCGATAGGCTCAAGGCTGACTTGTAATCAATACTTTGAATGTTGATTGTAATATGACGACCAGAATGCAATGGTCTCTTTAATATGCTGCTCGGTGACGGAGCTTTGGAATTGTTCTTTGAACTTATATCGACGCCATGTTTAATTTAGAATTCATTTTTTTATTATTTACCTTTCACTAATAATTTAAAGAATTACATACATACTTACATACATATATACTTTTTATTAAAAGCAATGATTTTAATAGCAAGACTTCAGTTATATTTTGAAATAGAATATAAATTATTAAAGAAGACGTTCTCTACAAATTTAAAAAATAGTAGTGAAGTATCGATCTAAATTTCTCAGGGAATTTCGTAATTCTGGATTTTAGTTTAAACTTTTTAGTTTTACAGCTTAATCTTTTAACCAAAAACTTTATTAAAATTAAATGATTTCTAAAAAAGCAATACTTCATAACTCTGTACAGTTTAACATATGATTGATTAACCAAAATAATTTACTCGAAAAATTATAACAACGTTCAATAAATATATTTTTTAAATCATCCCCTATGTAACTCCTGATGAGTTAAATTGACTTACCAGTAACGTCCTCATGCTGTCCTTTCACACTACACAATCACGTTGAACACAAGTATCAAATAAAGGAAATACCTCCCGCGCACGCTATAAGAGGTCGCCCACTCTCGCCTGGCTACGCGACTACCATACCTATTGCAAGGTGACCAACTACGAAGGCATATATCAACTAATATACAGCATATAATGCACAATCCTTAATAAATTGGTTGCACTTGAAGCGGTAAACGGAACAACAATGATTCGACAATTCTATTAAACGTAACGGAGGAAATGCTTTAGCAGAAAAGTTTTGAATTCGTCATTACGTCATTGATAAACCGTATAACACTCGATGCGTTGAACAGGGAGTTGGAGGTTTTATTTCCAGGGAACAAACATTCGTATTTTCATAGAAAGTTGTTTGATTGAAAGTAAACTTTTAATAGGTTGAAGGCCCACTACTGTATAGTTTTATTTAATTTGTATTAATTGGCAAAACATTATTAATAGAGCCGACGTAAACCAAAACATTAACCTAGTTATTGATCTCGCAACTTCAAATAACCCATGCTCCAGTTTGACATCGTACTAAGACACACCTACAGACAAAACTGGAGATATTATTATGAATAATTTATAATATATCTATATAAAGAAATTTTCATTACATTTTTCAACATACTGTTGTTTTACTGTAGCCAAGGTTCACTGACACGCGGTCACTGAAAATTTAAGTTCATACACATTGTTAAAGAACTTTAGCTCGTTTCCCTTTTATGTTTTATTATTTTAAAATCTATCGCTTAAGGAGAACGTATTTATATCTACATTACTAAAAATAATAATAAATACTTTGAAGAGATCATGGTTTTAGTCTGAGTATTGTAAGTTCAAAATTTTCTGTGGTATTATTGCTCTTTTTTTATCACAACTGGGAACCCTAGTACAGGTATAAAGTATGTATGCCAGGGTTCCCTAATCTATCCCATTAAATTTTTAATTTGAATAGCATTATTTTTTTAAATTACAAAGTCAAAAATGCAAATAGTATTTATTTATTAAAGTACACCACATCATATATAATGCACTTTCTACTATCTATTCTAAAATACATGACAATTACGGTGAACATACATTTATTAATAAATATTAAAAGTATTACACTTCCAACTACAAATTTTAGTTAATCGTAATTTCCTATTAAAAAATACTTATTCGCTTCGTCTTCTAGCGTAAACTTTCAAAGGAGCTGGGATGTTCCTCTTTGCAAATCTGAATTCCAAAACTTATTCGGTCACACTACAATAACAGAACGCGCAAGCTTGGTAATTGGCTTAATGCTTATGATACGCCAAACACTGGCACCCTTTTGGACCCTGAACCATTTCCATCAGCCTCCGCTTAGGAGTGCCCATATGTGTCCCTGTGGCGTTGAAGTAAGTAGCCTTGGACACCATGGCCTCCATTCACAAAGGAGTGTAGGTCGTTTTTCTCGCTACTCTTTTTTCCGTCAATGTTCCAGCCATTTTGGAGCTGGAGACGATGGCAAGCGGCCGGATGGGATGTCGTTGATCCCTTGGAAGATTTAAATATAAAAAAGGCCGGATTTAAATAAATTTTTGTTGACTTAGATTAAATTATCTATTAAGTTGATAGCTCATTCGCTTAACAATGCGGATTAGGAACCCGATAGACGCTTAACAACGCTTTTTTTAAATAGATAAGCCCACTACCGAAAATATCAATTTGTGCGATTTTCTTAGATTAGAGGAATCTTGTTAAGATCTAATAACTACAACATAAGATTAACATGGCATAGTTTCTACATATCAGCCGTCAAACCTTTCATTAACATTGTGTAACATCCGACTTGTCCCAATATATTCATTGTTCGATTTTGTATTTGGTATTCGAAACGTTTATGTATCAAATGTCGTAATGCTGAATTGTTTCTCAAGTGTTTTATTTTATGAACCTTTTTTGGTAATAGACTAAAAATTTCATATACTATATATAAGAATAAAAAATCGTATAATATATGTAGAAGACATGTTAATATTTCCTTAAAACGTAGGAACGCATATGTGTATCCACAGAGAAAGCGTTGCTAAAATATATTCTACCCCGGGACAGTCTAGATGAAAGCGGATCGAATTAAATCTTGATTTTTCACTTAGATTATACTTTTCACGTCTCAAATTAAACATCCATATAAATGTATTACAAACTCGACAAAGAATTTTTACTTTACTCAAAATTATTTACGATTTCAAAGATTATTATTCGAGTTTTCCTTTAATTCGACCAATTGATTTAATTGCTTGGCGGCGCTTCCGGTTAATATTGTATTACTTTTCATATACTGTGTACCGTAATTCTTAATATATCATAAATATACATAAACTCACTAGAGTAAGAGAGAGAGAGAGAGAGAATAGTATCAGACTCACATATGCATATATAACATACTTTTTATCGCTTTCTTTTTCCTGGTGGCCCTATCCACAAGTGGAACTGGCCTATATACACTTAAAATACAGTATTAAAATATCTAAAGAAAGACGTAAAAATCAAAGGCAACGTTGAGGAACAAGTCGATATTACGACAACTGTCCGTCCGCACATAACATCGTCTGCCCACTTACATTGTCTGCATATCCACGTTCAGGTAAAATTAGATAACATTCGCGGATACAGTGAACACGTCAGGATAACACAATCGTTACATCAATGCACGATCACGTGCAGAAAGTCTTAGTGAGAGTCTGCCATAACTTATTCCTCGCAAGTAAGATATTTAATATGAATGCAATCGTTCGATAAAAACAATTAAGCCCCACTGATTTATAAGGTACAATGTTTCTAGGCTAATGCAATATTCATCATTAGTGATTCTACAACCATTTGTAGGCCTCAGGTTTCTGAATGTTTCATATGATAATTGTTGACAAGTAGCCCTCTCCGACTGCCAGTTGCCACACTACATTAGCTGAGGGTTGAACGTCGCGCGCCATACTATTATTACGCTAACCAAGAAGACTCAAGGTGCTACTTCATAACTGTAGATTAGTTATCAACAATTTGAATCGCCGGGTATCGATGAGATGCCAATCAATTCAGGTATGTTCTGCACCCCCGAGTTTCGCCAGCACTGAATTCTACCCATAAGTATCCTCAATTAGCTATTGAATTGTGTCCTGTAATCACTATAAAAAATTCCCTTAAAACTTTCGTGCCACTTTACAAAATAATTGTGGCAAAGTATTATTTAACTAAGTGTGATTAATACGTATATTTATAACAAAAAAACCGTGTCTACACGATCGCATAAGAATTGTGCGACCACTTTACGTAATAATACAACTCACTACTGATTCACTGTACACTCGTTTTTCTTGATCGATTTCAAATAGCGAAAATACATTCTTTTGAGAAAAGTTATTCAGACGACCTAATTAGTGGGCTTGTTAGGACGAGTCTTGCAACGTAATTATCAACAGAGATAGAGGAATTTGTTATAGATTTGTTCGACAGCTGATAGAAGTGTTTGCTTAAAACATGTCAAATTCATAGTTTATTCTAATAAAGATTTTTGAAGTTATACTTCTTTTGGCGCGTTAGGGAAAAATGATGAGAGTAAATTTTTACGATGCGCCCGCACACCGTCACAAAAAACCGACACCCTGAAGTTAGCCAACATTTTAGTTTTTTTTCTAGCTATCATAAGCGTCTTGCAACTCACATGTCTACTGAACTCCAACCAATGGACGTGAAATAAATAGTAAATATCAATATGTATAAGTTGCATGCTAAAATAAAAAATGTCAATTTCTTTAATTATGTAGAAATAATTTTTGTGACATTTAAATAATCTTTATTTAATGGATAATACGTTATAATAAATTTTCAATGCATTAAATACCTTTTTTCTAAGAACGATAGATTTTTATCTTATTACGCCAAAGAAGTGTACCTAACTTCTAAATATATATTCTTCTAATAAATAAGTACACACACGTTTTTTCTTATTATTATTTTATTTTCATGACTTTATTATTTGTCCCTGTCATCTTAGCTATCTTGTAGCAAGAGTTGAAAAGGAAGATATTGGTTAAGCCATAAGATACCCCGTTGCACTTTAGCATTTAGATTTATCACTATGCTTTTTGGTTATTGTTTTCTTGTGTGCAAAGAAGTGTAAATAAATACCGACAAGATTATTACTATTACTATTCGTAGATAACATTTTAAAGAATTATCATTAAAATGCTTGCTTGCTTTCCCAGGATTTCATAAGGATAGAAATGTATTGAATACGCATGACAGAGGTGCGGCAATGGTGTGAATGGCTGCCATACAGTTATAGTTTCATATTCTACATAAAACATTACATTTAAATGATATATTCCTGTACCAGGAATAATAAGTTAGCAGGATGGTGAGGTGCCGTTACCTGTTCCGTATCGCCATATTGAACGGTGATTCGTTACGGGCGCATACTCTATTAGTAACAATGGGACCTGTTGCGAGGTCATTTTCATAGCGAAATGTATTTATGTATCTATGTCAGATTTAGGAGGTCAATGACCATGATAAACGATACATCTATAAACAAATTGATTTAGGAAAATCTTCTGAAACAGCTTACATGAAATGCTCACAGAACACGTCGAAAATGGTTTTGATTTGTGCTACTTTATACACCTCGAAACATGATCCACTCCTTGCTTAACTGAAAGCATTGAATTGACCGTAAATAATTATAATATGTAAGCTAATTTTATTGCAATAACTATTATAGAAATAGACGATACTATAATCAATAAAGAAGATAAATAACGGTGGCTAAACCAGCTTTTTTTGTAGCAAGAAGATGCCATTCAAATTTTAAACACAAAATTTACGAAATATAAGTTCTTCTACAACATAGACAATACATTCCAACCGACTTCTTTTTATAAATACAACCTATCTGCTATTATTCTCAATGAATATAAAATAAATAAATCTACAACTAATACGTAAACTTTGCTCATCAAATTATTACAGGCGCAAGTTACGTTAACATATATAGCCCCAATTTCAAATAACCAAAGAATTAAATTACCCGTTAACAGCTATATTTTATGCACTGTATACTTTTTATTATATTTAATATTAGTACTAACGTTCTTTCATACAGGAATGTAACTACCAAAAAAGCTTCTAAGTGAATTCTAAACGTTTTCCATAATTAACATTGACTTATGCATATCATGTGCAGTGACGTTTAGTGACCGTTATGTTGTGGCGCCCAAGTCAATGTCCCGTATAATTAAACCTACACGTGTCTCTAGTAATTACATAGTCACCTAATGCCTTACTTTTATTACACCTCAACATTTATATTTCAAGAGTCCTTCAAGACCTTTATCAACGGTTTACGGTGTCTGGTAGGTTTGAAAGAACTAGAACCATAAATATCTGTACTGTTCCTGGGTCATCGGGGTGCTTTAAATAATAGAGAATTTTAGTTTTACTCTATATTAACCATTAAATATTAGAAGTAATGAAATGTTAATTGTTATGTAACTGTTGAAGAGTGTACCTGCGTCTGGCGGGGCGTCTACTCTCGGGGAGTAACTCCCGCCGATTTAGGAAATTGTCACGCTTATAAAATTAAGAAAGCCTGAGTGAGCAAAATGGCTCCTTGGCTCGTACAATATCTTATATTTATATATATGTAGGTTGCCTTTTAAAAAAACAAAAGAATCTTATTGTAAGTATGTAAGGATCTCGTCATACATAGATAATATGCCCATGATTTAGAATTGAATCTCATGCTGACTTGAAGAAAACGTGAAGAAATATTATTTTAATGTCTAAGTCAATAAAAAAACAAAAAATAATGATATAAAATATTTTTAATTCGACATTTTAATTATATAAAATATAACACTATTTTGTTATAGAATGTACAGAGCTAATTACATATTAATATTTATTTGTTGCTTAAAATAAACCTAAATTTAAAATACTAAATTGGTCTTGATTCACAGATTGTATGTTATGTAAATACAGTAACTATAAAAAAAACAGCTGTAATACACAGCAAATTAAGTACGAATAATATGGTGAAAAATTGTTGGTTATGATTTTATACAAATTATAATTTTTACTTTGTATTTCTGATATAAAGTGCAGGGAAAATATTATTTAAGCGGATATTTACGAATAGATTTTAAAGATATTACCTAATATAGGTAAAATATTATTAAATATATTTACATACACTATATACAAGCCTTATCTCTACGATACTTATGGAAACAATAGCTACCTTACAATATATTTTAACAAAATTAACATAATAATATCACCATTATTTTTGTATAAAAATAAATTTCTTAACCCTTACATTTCAACTAAAGTTTTCTTGTCCATAATAAATTCGAAATTTTATTGTACATTATAGTTTTATCTATTTTATTACGACTTCTAGTTTTATGTAAATCAGCGCCCTCTATCGTCTGTAGTTGTATACGTGCCGTTACTTGTTGGCGTGATATTTTCAGCTCCTCTGTAATATTAATCGTTTATTAATTTATATAGTATGTGAATGTTTTGGATAAAAATAAATAATATATTTAAAATTATTATTTCTAAGTACACAGATATTAAACTCGCTTGTCAAATGAATATATTTTGGTAAACACAAAGGGTATAAAATACATAATTATTGTTTTAAATAAACGTAATAATATTTGTATCCAGGCCAAAACCTTTTTCAAGGTAATTTATAATATTTATAAAAAAATATAATTAACAAGAAAACCTGTTAGCTAATTCAGTAACTTCGCACTCACTTTTTAGATTGTGTAGTAGTTGTGTCTGGAAGTAAGAGTACAGTGGCGCCCCCTGCTACACTCATCAAAGCTATTGTAATCATCGGAAGGTGGTCGTTCAAAGCAGTCTGAAAAGACAATCGTTTATGAATATCCCTATTTGGCAACAATATTATCCTTTTCTTTATAAAAAAAAGGGTGCGTGTACTTATGTACGCGCGTAAGAATTTATACTTCTTTGGCATTATTAAAAATAGTTTTTAATTGCATGCAAATAATTAAATACAATTAAATAATTAAAGACTGGAAAAGGAGTCATTATACTCAATAAAGTTCAGTTTACATTTGAAAAATTAAATAAATAAATACTTATTAGTATTCTCTTACATTAAGTGTAATATAAATTCTATTATTATTCGAATGTTGTTTTTAAATTATGTCCAATGCCGTAGCATCTTCCGTGGGCAACTTCATTCTGTTAATTTTGTCTCACGGTGCGCGCTTATCGTAAAGTTTCACTCTAATCAATTTTTCATAACGCGCCTAAAGAAGTATAACTTCAATAAATATCATTTAGCGGTTCAATGGCATAGCCCACCATTTATTAAATTGTAAATGTATTGCAGGCTAAAGCATCGAATCACGAAATATTATTTTTTCAATGTATTAGTCCGTAGATACACTAAAATTAAATTCAGTACTACTCACCAGTTTCCATAAATAGGGTATGCATATAAGTCCAAGTCCTGAGGAAATCTGACTGACACCCACTCCCAAGTTCCTCACCATTGTGGGGTAAAGCTCGGCCGTAAATATCGGCAGCATCATATTCGTCGCACCGATCGCAAACTTCCCTACCATCAGACATGCAATCATGGCCCATTCATTCGCATAGACTATTGTCAAGCCCTCACTGCATACACAGGCTAGCCCGCATACAACCATGCTTATAAATATGGGTAAACGTCTCCCTGCCTTTAAAAGTATCGGAATACTCAATCCAATGGCTGGTATTTCGACAACTGCTAATATAATCGACGTCAAATGTAGATTGCCCAAGTTGAAGTTGCCTATGTTTAACAGCAACCCGTAGTATGCTATGGTCATTGCGAACCAGGCAATGAACAGACATACTGTCCTTTTCAGGAGGTAGCCTCGGAGTAACATGCAGACGCTCGGGTCTTCCGATTTCGTGTCTGTTTTGTAGACTAATAGCAATTTGTCAATATCAGCAGGCAGTTCACGTTTGTTGAATGTTGCAGCTTTTTCTAGGATAGCTTTGGCTTCCTGTGTCCGGCCCATACTTAGCAGCCATCTTGGGGATTCTGGTAGGACGAACCTGCAAATGATGTTTACGTTTTGGTCAGTGTTTTATCGATAAACTGTTAAATAATAATAATATATCAGATCTTTACAGTTGCTTATTTGTTAATGGTTTTAATCATTATAATGATATAAATGTAGGCATTTCATGATAAAATTTTCACGTCTACCCGTTCTAAATTATTTAAATTAACGTTTTAAGCATTCCAAAACGATTATTTTGAAATTCGAGACTTGGCCAATACGAATACTTTAGCAAATATTTTTTAACTATATTAAATGAAGGTACTCTACACAGTATACCATAGAATAAATGTAACTTACCACAAAAATATTAGTAAGCATCCGGGTATAGACAACGCCAACTGTAGATCCCTCCAATTAGGCATAATCATAGATAGCAGAGACACTATTACATACGCCAATGGCAGCGGGAAGAAATTACACACTCCCGCAATTGTCACCCATTTTCCGCCAACAAGTTCCACAGACAACACAAATGCTGCGTATACCACAGATACGGATACAAGTCCCATGATTAGTCGAACTACTACGTATTGTATATAGGAGCTAACTAGAAGAGATAGTATGGCCAACGCACTTTGAGCTACTGACATAGCCATGAGAATGCGCTTTCGGCCGAATCTGAAAGAATATATGTATTTTAAGAATTACAAAAAACTTTGTACGTTTGAAAATGGGTGTGGGGTTTTACTTTTTGAATAAAAAGATTGTCAATTACTGTTCTTTATTTATGTGTAATACTGAAGTCTGTTCAAAGAAAATGATAAGTAAAATATTTAACTTTAGAAAAAATTCAGTGTATTATGCATATTTTGATATATATCATTATTCTAATAATAATAATGCACATTTATAATAAAATTTAAACTTGATAGATAATAAGTACAGGGCTCTTAAACCAAAATATGGTTTTGCCGGAACTCGAACAGACAGAGATGTTGGATTGGAAATAATTTAGTTTTATGTTTATTTCGCTAAGGAATAATATAGGAAATAATTAATGATACTTTTTTTGCTAACCTGTCAGAAATCCATCCCCCCACAACCCCACCCACACCGATGCCGATCAAAAATACAACCTCTGCGAGATTTGTCAGATTAGCCTTCTCACATACTAGATTCCATTCAGAGATAATCGTATCGCCAACTTCGCTCCTGTCATAACCCCAATTCTGACACTTTTGAAATGAATCAAGAGCGGTCGCTGTGTAATTTATAATACTGTCAGCTGTCACATTGGCCGGAATGACGCGTACGCTGCACGCATCTTCAGGTTGGCTGTAGTTGATCCATCTTTCTAGGGGTACATTTGTCAGGTTATCTGGCGGCTGACACCAGAATTGGGTTGCTTTTGCCTGAAAAAATTGAAGATTTTTTTTACTTTTACGAACACCGACTTTGACTGACTGAAGCATAGTATGACTGTTAGATTATATATATATATATTACAATATTCGTCTACTGGTAAGTTCAACTGCCCTTCAGTCACAAGTTCAAATCCCAGATGAAACAGTAAAATGTAGAAAGATAAATATTTAATGGTCGGATGGTGGGTGAGCACGTAAAACTGTTTTCCAACTAACATCCTGATGTTTTGATCGGGTCGGACATCGGACCCATCAAGCTATGAGAAATATATGATAAACAGGGCCCTTTTATATGTTAATGGCAAGTCTCAACAGAGATCAGCTGTAGTACCGTAGCTGAATCAGTCTAGAAAACTTGATTTATGAGTTTAATTTGTTTTAAATTAAATAATAATAAGAGATATAGTTGATGGCAAATTTAGCACATTGTGTAGTAAAACCTTATAGGGTAACGTAGTTAAATTCTTTGCTTTAAAAAAATTATAAGGCGCTATATTTTTGAAACATTACAGTAACTGTTCACACTAAAAATATGAACAGTATTCTGTCAGAGACAACCAAAACAGGAAATATTTCCTTTAAAGATGTAGCGAGATCTAGTAGGAGCTAGTTCTAAAAGAGTTTTTATAAATCACCCGTGTCAAGTGCGTGTTGCAAGAAAAACGTTAATTGAATGGAAGGAAAAAATATTATGATATTTTTTACACTCACTGTATGCATATTTTTTAAGTATTAGCTATAGCCCTACCTTGACCTGTTTTTACAAGATATATTTATATCGTACTCCTGTTTTTACAGATAATTTACGAAGCATAGGTAAGAAAAAATAAATAAAACATAGATTCAATATACATATTAAAATAACTATACCTATTAATTTAAATTAACTAAGAATATTCGGATGTGTTGTATGATGGTGTGTATGTCAGGGTGTGTACTTGAGGGTAATAAGTCTTATAAAACTCTAATTACTCATTTTAATCATATTCCGATAGCTTAAACGAGTCGAGGCTTAGATACTGGTCGTTGTATGTCGCAATACAACACTGAGTTTCTTGCGAAGTTGATAACAATTTTACGAGTACATGCTCAAATATCAAATATACAGTACCTTACCTTTAAAATTTTAAAATTGATTCGCCGTTTTGCAGGCTTTTATAGGTTGTAAATTAGTTACATATAAAATTGTCATATGGTAATTTACCAGTTACCATGTAACTTCCATTGCAATTCCGGTTCCGCCCCAATTCAATAAGTTATCGTAACACTATTGAAATAACATCGAAATTGGATTTTATTGTAAGATGACGTCATTTTATTTACTAGAGAGTGCCAATGGCAGCAAGCTATTAACTAACCATTTAGTGGACCGTTGCAATCGCCATTGAAGTTACGTGGTAAACTTTCAGAAACTTAGTAGCGGTAAGATTTCTGAAATCCCCTAACCCAGACATAGCACAGATTCATTTCCACGTTTAAATCATTTTAAGGCCTGTGTGCACCCTGTACGTATCGAAAACTATCGCTAAGAATTAAAGTAATCAATATAGTTAGTAGCTGGAAAACTACTCTTACCGTAAAAGTTGGCAAAAATATGTGGAATGTGCATGGGAATGAGAATAATGACAGAAGAAATGTCATTAATAGCTGCCATCGTCCATATTCGCCAATGACAGCTGACACTACGTCCGGACCCGACTCTTCATCGTCAGGGATCCTGGGCTTCTCCTTGTGTGTTTGGCTTGGGATTACTGGAACAAAAAATATTTTTTAAGATTAAGATTGAATATTTTATTTTCATTGTTTAGACGAAAAATACGTCTTTGTTTATGTCCGCAATTATTTGCTAATCAACTATTTATAACACTTCGTTGTCAGTACAAATTATAATAATAAACCATTTTATCTACAACCGTTTTTATTGACATACCCATATTTAATGTGTGTCTCGCAGGTAAACGATGTGTAGTAGAGAGATAAAACTTTAATTGAAATAATAATTTCGTATTATATAGGTATATAGATTTAGTTCATATGAATGGGGAATGAAGTTTCGATTCGTTGGATAGCTTAGATTTTTATATCTTTGTGGGGGTTTATGTTTAGTACAGTATGTATATAATATATTTACATATAGGAATTCGGGATGTTATAGTATATATACATTATACGTAATTGATTTTTCTCATATAAAAAACGTCGGTGTTTAGATTATTTTTTGTGTTATAGAATATTATATATAAATCGTTCAGTTAATCTATTATTAAATATAACGACGTGATAAACCATGACAGTAGGTACTTTATCATTACTCTCGACAAAGAGAGAAATTTAGGTCAATGAAACTGATATTTTTATAATAACTTGGACAAAACATTATCACTATCAACTTGTAGTGAAAGACGTAAATTGAATTTGTACGATAACTGGAGTTTATAAAGAAATAATTTATAGAAGATTTATTTTCTTACAACTTATAAGCCGTTGCTAAGAGATTGTTAGCTATATGCAATATTTAAAAAAATGCTGTTTCAATCGCAGTATTTTTTTCTAAGCTAACAAATATTTTAGCATTGTTGGTCTTTCAAATTTGTGACTCCATAGTTCGTGCGTTCCAGTCTTTTTCTACTGGCGAATTTAATACTTGCTCGATAGCAAACTGGCATGTCTCAGATCAAGAAGACGTCTTGTGGCAAGAATTGAACACTGAACACCTACAAAAAAAGGAAATTATCACAGATAGACGCTTAGATCAGCTAGATCACGGCGTTTCATGCCGGCATAGATTTTGTTAAACGATTTTACGTTCGACCATAGTTCAACGGGCCTCAATTATATTGCATAAGAAAAGTGCACTTTAAAAGCCATAAATAAAACTTAGTTATAAATACAACACCTCATAGAATTAATTTGCTCCATTTATTGATGCAATCGGTCTAAAAATAACTGTAATATTCTTTGTTTCTAGAAACATGCTTGACACGATATAGTTTTTTTATAGATTACTAGCTGAACAAGCTGGCAAACGTTGTTTTGCCATGTATATTATTTCTAGGAAACATATTTTTAGTTCAATAAAAGTAACTATCTACTACAATAAAAAATAGGGGTTGATCGTAGAGGGGTTGTATGTATTTTTGTATGCTGTATCAAAAAAATTTATATAATTTTTTGGGGCGGACACCCCTTATCACTTAGGGGTTTGAAAGATAGATAGTAGCCTCAGACTTACTGCATACTGCGTTCGAGCCGTTTCGATGGAGTATGGAAACGAACATTGTGACACGAGAATTTTATATATTAGATATAATTATTTCATAATTGCAATAATTTTTAGCTGCATTGTTATATTAATATGTACGTCTTAGTGCGCACTTTAAACACATTTTAAGCGGGTCCGAACTCCGTTATTTTGAATTATACATATTTATAAAGTTGTATTAAACGGTAAAGATTAGTAAACAACATTACTCTAATATTGACATAATACCGTTAAAAACCCGATGCCCGAAATGTGAGGCAAGGTTCTAAGATTATTAATTGATATAAATACTTTTTACAAATTATGTTTTTAGACAAGTCTATCTAGATTCTGATATACTCCATTTATAAATGATAGAATATTTATCAATCATCTTTATGTAGGAAATAATGGCACTCTAAGTTTTGAGACAAAAACAGACCGCATGGATTCTGAAGTGTTGCTATTGAAGTTTCTGTGAAAGTATAAAAAATACTTCTAAGAACAAATAAACAAGAATGGCACTTGTCTTAAACGATATTATTGTTCATCATGCGAGTTTGCATTTGGGGCCAAGGCTGGGAAACGTATAGATTACATTAGAGTACGATTAGTTGAGAAAATCGCGTAAACACGCGACTGAGCCATGCAACTGTTATAAAACTACTATAATCTATCAAAATAATTCGAATGAAATTCTTTATATGCCATAAAAGCGGTACACAATATAAATATTTAAATTTCGAACAACAGCACAATCACCGATGTCAAATTAGCATGTATAATGTCAAAATATATTTAATTAGGGAGATTATTAGATTATATTAGAACACACAATAATACAGTATTTACAATAGTCTTAATCTACATAGTAATAATAATCATTGAAATTATAAATATAATAAATAGTAATAATAAATTGATTGATAAAGAGAAGACAATTTTTTTTTACAAAGTTTGGTCCCTGTGACTCTAAATGCTGGCTACATTTCTTCGCTGTATTGCGATACTTATTCGTTGAGCGAGGAAAGCAGCAGCTCTGGGGTCACCGGTACTATCTACTAGGCGCCAACTCTAATCTTTAATTAGTGCCTGTGCATTTGAACCGCACGCCCCAAAAGTCTCTACTCCAAACAAAGTGCTCTGCGGTCGCGCTAGCTTTTGTGCTTGTCCGTTGGAGGTGAGACGGGGCTTACATGTCCACATTGCAAATACTGTGTGTTCTCATATTATCTAATAAATAGATTTTATTTAAGTGTAAAATTGTTACCTTACCAATAATAGGGATCTTATTTATTTTAATAAGCTCATTATTCATTATAATGCCAAAAAATTAAGCGAGATAAAACGTTTAATTGCTGACATCTAAAAATGTAAAAAATGTTTTAGATGGAGTGCTGAAAGACTTTTTATATATTATTTTACCAGACAGTAATTATAATAATGGAGGAGGTTTTGTATAACGCGCGTACAAGTTTAGAGTTTCTATAGAAAACTTGAAAAAGCTATTTATTTTTGCATAGTATTAAAATCGCAAAGTGTTATCTAAAGCTTTGAAAGAACATTATTGTATTTTTGATAACTAAATTATACTATCACTGTGTAAGAATTGCAAATCAAAATTTGAATATGGTCTTATTTTTTCGTAGTTTTTCTCATACATAAAATATATTCATATTGTTTTATAACATATTTCTTTTTGAACCCTTGAAATCTAAATTATTTTGTCATTGACGAAGACTAACGCTAATTCGATTTAATTCTTATATAGTAACAACATATAATTCGTTACATAATTAATGTATCTATATATATTTGTTTTTATTTTTTCCTAACTTCGATCCGAGCAAATTTTCGAGTATATACCGCCCTGATTAATACCGTCTACCGTCTACTTCGAGTATATACCGTATTGGCTGTGTGCCTCTGTATTAGACTTTACGAGTTGTCTACAAGGACGTGTTACTCCGGTTATTAAATTAAAACGTAACCTGATACAATTTGAGTCACTTTCATGACCCATAAACGTACGGAGTTGTTTATTAACTTGAATTACAAAATTGCGCCTTGGTTTCGATAAGTGATTACTATTTTATAGAGAAAGATATATCCGGCAGGTTCAATCTGTTGAAATTGGGTCGAATATAGTATATAGGTAGTACCTCAGTTAGTCATTACTTAACTATGTTATGTTATATTAGATCGAAACTATAAAATCAAAAGTGTGTTGGTAAAATATCTGTAAGCAATTACGCCCATATTATCAAGAAACCAAAAAAACCCCTAATTAATAAAAAATAAAATCCTTATGGTATAAACAAATAGAGAAATAAAATTGTTTGCAAAAGTTATGTCTCTTACAAAATAATGATACTTGGGTGATACTTTTCCAAGATGGCGGTTGGGGGACAAGGGCGCCAACCCCATAAACTTGGGTTTAGGCTTGTATTGACCCCCTCTACATGTCCCATAATTAAAATTGCGTCCTTTAAAAAATGTTTGGCCCTCAAATTGTAACATTTCAATGGACTATTAGGGAGAAAAATTAATTTTAATATTCAAAGCTGCCAGATGACAGTCTTATGTCAAAAACGTATTGTATTTTGACAACCGGGACTCATAGTAATAATCCAAACTTTTAAATAAATTCGTCATAAATAAATAAAACCATAAAAAAAGAATGTTACTGATATACATGGCTATATGTTGTGGATGGAAAGGGGTGGGCTGGTAGACGTTGTTTGCTAAATCAGATACCGGACATCCTAGGCAGGTCAAAGTAGATAAAGTTGGGAGAGTGAAATGTAATGAGTGACGAAGCGTTGCAGTAAATAGAGGAACAGACCCAGAATCGTATCCACAAACTTTTTACAAGTAAACAATACGGTAGCATTTCTGGATAAAAAAGTGCCTTCCTTGAGTAGCAGAAAAAACTTATTAGGTAATAGATTTTTTTCAGCCTTTTCGTCGTAAGTTTTTTACGCAAGCGAGCGTACAAGAGACGGTAAATAAATGAACAGTTGAATTAATTAATTGGCCAATTTAGCGGTTAAAATGCTAATAGCAAATCTATGAACAATCATATCATCTGTGTTTCACGCGGAATGGAATGATGTTACAAGTAATGTCTTAAGGTATATTTACTATACTTTTTTAGAAACTATAAAGAACATTGGTCACTGACACAGGCGAAATCTAAATGTCTACTTTTATTTTTGTCGTTTGTTGAATCTCACAAACGAATCACTACGAATCTCTCTCTCTTTTATTATTAACAAAATCAATAACTAAGTGCCGGCTCAACTTTTTTACGTCTGGGCCTCAGACTTCTGTTTCATATTTATATGTCAATCTAATTAGCAAGTAGGTGATCAGCCTCCTGTGCCTGACACACGCCGTCGACTTTTTGGGTCTAAGCCAAGCCGGTTTTCTCACGATGTTTTCCTTCACCGTTCGAGCAATTAAAAGCGCATATAGAAAGAAAGTCCATTGGTGCACAGCCGGGGATCGAACCAACGACTTCAGGGATGAGAGTCGCACACTGAAGACATTATTAGACCAACACAGCTCAATTTCACAAAATACTAGATTATAATGAAGATAACAAGACAAAACATTTTTTAGTTACAATTTTCAGTTCCATACAGCGCAGTATTCATTAAATGAAAATACTACACACAATCATTTCCTTCA